GTGACGGTGTTAGTGGTGAATGGTACAGACACAGTGGTAGTCACAGACAAGAACAACAACAGTGTGAAGTCTTTCTACACCAGGAACAGTCAACTGGACCACAGCAGTCTCAGTCTTATCACTAATCCGTATGGTATAACAAAGTTGAAGGACAACCAGGTGGCTGTCACTGTGCCGGGTTCCAGTCAGATTGTAACAGTACAAGTCAACCCTGACCTGGTGCTGCTGTCAACCATCACAGGCAGCAAAGAGTACCGGGGTATAACGTCTCTGACACCCTCAACACTAGCAGCAGGTTCTGACTCCCCTCCCTGTGTTGATATCCTGGATGTGGCGGGACACGTGCTGAGGTCAATTTTTCCTGACCACCCTAGTAGATACATCTTGAAGTATCCCTACTTCCTCTGTACCACGAGGACAGGAAACATCCTAGTGTCTGACGTGGGATCCAAGTGTGTTGTGTGTCTGACTCCCGAGGGAGATGTGGTGTTCACCTACAGCCCTAAAGGAGACACAGCCCTGAAGTATCCACTTGGTATCACAAGTACCAGCACAGGCGACATCCTGGTGACAGACTACCATCTACACAGAGTCATCCATCTGACTGAGTCAGGACAGTTTGTTAGAAACATACTGACATCACAGGATGGTGTCAAGAGTCCATGGGGAGCGTGTGTTGGTGGGCATGGCCGTATGTACTTGTGTACGCCAGATGAAGTGAGGGTATATACATGTAAGTGACTGAACATGTCTTAAACCTTGTAGGTACTTTCAATTCGTTTGAATGAATGGTGTGCAGACTTTTGTAAAAAACCCACCAAGAGAAACCGCATGAGGAAGGAACATAACTGGTTTGATCAAGAATGTTGGGACGCACGTGCAACCGCTCGCCGCCGTTTATATCGTGACACTAGCAATGACAACAACCGACAACGGTACATTGACTCGTGGAGGTCGTGCAGAAGCCAATGTAAACAGAAATCTTCATTAGTGTTTCTCTGTTACAAATCACAGACATTAACAGTGCTTAATCAACGCATAATTGTAGACAGTTCTGGTCTTATTTTAGAAAAAGATCATTTTGAAAGTAATTCAATTTCACCGTATTCTTGGTCATTGCTTTCAATCATTTGTTTCAAGGCACTAATTTTGCTGAATGTGAGAAACAGTTTTATACAGATGTCCAACATTTTGTAGAACCTATTAGTGAAGATTTGATCAACTCCACTGTATATGATAATGAGTTGGATAGTTGAATTTAAAAAGATGAAATATTTAAGACTGTTAATGATATGCCAAATAGAAAAGCCCCAAGGTTTAGGGTGTACCCGTTGAATTTTTTAAATATGCCCCTCCCATGTGTTTGGTAATACTGTTATCCTTGTTTAAAAAAAATGTATTGACTGGTATTTATCCAGAAGAGTGGACTTTAGGTATCATCCTTCCTTTACATTAAAAGGGTAATGTAACTGACCCTAGTAATTACAGACCTATTACTCTTTTAGAAATATCTGGTAAATTCTTTTCTACAATTATATGTACTAGACACACTAACTGGGCAACTGATGGAAATGTTATTATCCCTGAACAAGCAGGATTTAGAAAGGGGTTTCAAACTGTGGATAATATATTTATACCTCAAATTATTATTGATAAATATCTAAGATTACATAAAGGTAGACCATACCGTGCCTTTATTGATTTAAAAACAGCTTCTTCTTTTTAAAATATTTCAATTCAGTATATGAGATTACAGAGTTATACATGGAGTAGCACGTCTTGTAGCATACTTGTTAGGTATAGGTTACCTATACAGCAGACAACAGGTCAGCAAGTTTAAGTTTACAAATGGTGAAAACCGGCAAATATTTTCCAAAATTATTAACTAAGTGTGAAGCTAATTCCTTACAAATTGGTTGTGTAAAAAAAATACTAAAAAAATATTTTAAAACACACACACACACACACACACACACACACACACACACACACACACACACACACACACACACACACACACACACACACACACACACACACACACACACACACACATATATATATAATTATTTATTTTTAAAAAAAAATCAATAAAAAAATAGAGACATAATAATAGACAGTTCATTTGCCAAATCGTTCCATTTTCTGTCAAACTGTCTTGTTGTATTGTTTTTGTGTGCAATTGATTTCTCTATCCGAAATATATCAATTAAAATCAAAATTCTTTAACATGCTTACAATCCCAATATACATGAAGTTAGGATTCAGTACCAGTTCCACAAAATGATAGATGGTGCGATAAATAAATTTATATTGAAAATCAAGTAATTTTACATCTTTTGTACATTTTCTGTATCTGATAAAAACATCATTTCATGATATAGCTAAGTCGAGAATGGTATTCCATTTTTCACAGACTGTTGGGAGATTTGCTGTAGTCTTATCATAAAAATATCTGGAGCCTCTAGGCGCTACAAGTAAGTCCATCAAAGCTGTATTTAAATGTTGATTATATAAAATAATGTGATTATTTCTCATAGTATCTTTCAGGATTTTGGTATGTTTAATTGAACTTGGTAATAGTCAATAATTGTGCCTTTAATTTTGGTATTTTCTTTTAAGTTCACTAAAGGGCATTATATCATCTTCATTGCAGAGATCTTTAATAGTGTAAATTCCCTTTAAAAACCAATTTCTTATAATGAACATACACCAAAGAGGTTCTGATAGTACTTCTTCAATGTTTGTGGAGTTTTGTGTCTTCTATACAGTGTTCCCTAAGCAGACAAAACATCTCTCCAGTAAGGGTTAGCTAAGTGCATACAGTTTTCAATATTGGCCCCAAGTAGGAATATGTTTTTGAGTGGAAAGATGCTATGGTTATTACAGTTTTTATTTTGGGGATTTTTTTTTAGATATGACAGTTTTAGAGCAATTATAAAAAACTTTACCTCTATCATGCTCAGTCCGCCTTCATCATATTTTCTAATTAAAGATGTTCGTTTTATTTTGTCCCTTTTTTCATTCCATATGAATGTGTACAATATTTTGTTTAGTTCATCAATAAATTCACTTGGAGGGTTTGGAAGAGAAGTGAATATATGTACTAAGGTTGATATGGCCAAGGTTTTGACAACAGTAATTTTACCTATCAATGTCAAAAACAATTTCCTCCAATTCCCTAAAATTTGGTTAATAATTTCAATTCTCTTCTTTGTATTGATTACCCACAGATTATTTAAGTTCGAGTTAAGCTTTATTCCCAATATTTCAAAGTCCCCACTATGCCAGTCTAGTTTCAGATCCTGGCATAATTTGATGTCACTACCTGTCATTGAGCCTATCCATATTGCTTTTGTTTTATCAATATTAATTTTTAATCCTGACATCTTATAAAAATCATTTAGGGTGTCAATCGCTGTAGTTAAACTTTCGTCAGTCCCATCTAGAAATATTTCATTATAATCAGCATATTGTCCAAGTTTATGTTCCACATTGTTCAGTTTGATACCTTTTATTGCATTATTATTACGAATCATTATTCCCAACGTTTCTGCAACAAGCAGGAATAGATATGGAGACAATGTGTCTCCTTGTCCACACCCCCTTTCGTTACAGAAGAATGTAGATAAGTGTCCATTTTGTATGATGCAAGATGAAGCATTATTTGTAAGTATATATATCCATTTATTTATATTAGGTCCAAAGCCAAACTTTTCCAGTGTCAGCATGGTAAATTGTTTTGAAACAGTATCAAAAGCTTTTTCAAAGTCTATAAGTAATAGTAAACCTGGCTTATTTTGTAATTTTGTCTCAAACAAGATATCATATAGTATGTTTTCGCTAATACGTCTTCCAAGCATAAAGCCAGTTTGGTTTTCGTGTATAAGAGTATTAAGTGTTGTTTTAATTCTGTTTGCTATACATGTACTCAAATTTTATATAGTGAATTTAAGAGAGAAATTGGTCGCCAGTTTTTGAGTAGTTGTTTATCTTTAGTGCCTTTGGTTATACAGGTAATGACACCTCTATTCATTGTTAGACTTAAAGTGTTATTTCTAAATGTTTCTGTAATATATCTGTATACCCATATTCCAAGATCTTTCCAGAAAAATTTGAAAACCTCTACAGGGAATCCATCAATACATGGGCTTTTGTTATTTTTCATAGATTTTACGGCCTTTGTTATTTCATTCATGTTAATCATATCTTCTAAATAATCAAACTGTGATTTACTAAGTTTTGGTGTGTTAAGTGTAATAAATTTTTGGATTCATTAGTTATTTCTCCACTTGAGGAGTATAGTTTCTCATAAAACTTTCTTTGTTCAGTTAAGGTGGATTGTCCTTCAGTTATTAACTCCCTTTTTTCACTTATAATACTGTTAATTAGTTTACTGGTATAATTCCTAATTCCTTTCAAGATGACAAAAATAATTTGATGTTTTTTCTCCTTCCTCGTACCACTGGATTCTGTTTCTTATTTGTATTCCCCTTGATTCTTCTTCTTTTAATTTTTCAAAAAGTACTTAATATTTAGACATGTCTGACAGCTTTGATTCACTTATATTCTGAAAATTTCCCCTAATTTTCTCTTCTATTTGCATTATTTTTTCCTCTAGGTTTTTACTTCCATCAAAAACGTTTCTAAAAAAAGAGTATCACTGATTTCTAATTTTAAGTTTAGATCTTTAGTTTTTCTTGCTTCATCTTTGGAATATTTACTGCTTGAATATTCTAGCTTTGTTTCTTCTAGTGTATCTTTCACTATTTGGATATATTCATTGTTAAACATTAGAGATGAATTGAACTTCCAGTAGCCCCTACCTCTTTCTTTGCTAAGTGTATTTGAAAAAGTCAGAGTTATTGCTGAGTGATCAGATTTGTATCCTGGTATAATTGTAGAATCAATAGTTATATTTGCAATGTCTTGTGAGACCAAAAGGAAGTCAAGTCTAGCTTGTTGTTTAGTCTTTTTCTTCCACCATGTCTATTTCTTAGCATCTAGATTTTTCTCTCTCCAAATATCAATTTGATCAAAGCTTTCATTTTTTTCAAGTTCTAACTTTCTTGCTTTGGAATTGTTGATATGTTTATAATTTTCCAAATCGACATCTGAATTTAGAACCAAGTTCCAATCTCCGCATATAACCATTGATTCGTTTTCAAATTCGTCAGTATTATTGAACAAAGTATTGTAAAAAGCAGGTTCATCTTGATTTGGCCCATAAATATTAGTCAGAGTTAACCTTATGCCCTCTATTGTGATATCTGCTATTATATAGTTTCCATTAATATCTTGTTTAAATCTATGGATTTTTATTTCTAAAGTATTACAAAACAAAATGGAAACTCCTCTTGCATTTGACTTGTAAGGCGCTATTATACTTTGAAGTCCCCATTCATTTCTCATTAATGTTTCGTCTTCTTTAGAAATATGAATGTCTTGTAGACATATTATAGAAAGTTTCTTCTTTCGCCATAGGTTCATTACTTCTTTACGTTTCCTTTCATCTGCGGGCCCCTGCAGTTTGCTGATACTATTCTTATTTTGTCATCCATATTCAGTGTTTTCCAAACTAAACAGATTCATATTGTTGTCAAGGTAGTTATATATATCATACACTGGTTCATCACCTACTGAATTGAATGTTTTTAAACTTTGCGGGAAAAACAGATTGTATGAAAACATACAATGATAATAAAAACAAAATAGAAAGGGTAGCGTTTCCACAAGCTATATCCATCATGGGTATT